TAAATCTCATACATTATGTTGGATGAAAACTTGAAAGCAAGGTCCTTTTCAGCCTATGAAAATTGCTAAAAGAGTAAGTCAATTCAAACAAACACAACAATTCATTAAGTCATACCATTGTGATGAATTTTTGCTAGGTGAATACTTCTATACTAACAGTAAGATAATTGTCTTTGTTGCATTTATTTATGTTAAAGGTCAACTATAACCAAGTGTTGATTTTTATGTTTTATTCATTATATAAATTGTGAATTGATAAATTAACCGAAAATTTCTCACTTAATGATAATGTGATTTTATATTGATTAATCTGGTTAACCAATTAACCAAACCGATTAAACTTTAGTTTGGTTAATTTGGTTGTTATATTAGTTTGGACGGTTTGGTTATGATATTGTATTTCATGGTTAATAAAATTTAGGCTTATTTGGTTTGGTAATAACCATGGTAACCATTTGAACACCCCTAGCTGACGGGCCAACCTTGGGGTGGGAAACGGTGCGGTCCGGACCAGACCATAGACACGGTCTGTGGTCCAGACGGAGAGGTTGGAACACAGACCATGGACCAGACCATATACTATACGGTCCAGACCAAACCACGCCTGTGCGGTGCGGTCCGGTATGGTCTGGACCAAGCAGACCATGTTAAAAAAAATTCACACTTGTACCGCCCTCTAACCATTCGCCGGTATCTATAAAAATATAAATTCCAGTGACCAATATGCTAGTGAAACAAAAAAAATTGTGATCCTAATTAAATGAGAAGAAATATATGAGGATATAAGTGGGTTTTTTCAATTTTCAAACTGTCACTCTAGTCTCCACGGCTCTATCCAGTATCCCTTAAAAAACACACATATATATCAAATAACATTGTTTTCCTATTCCTCTTTGCGCTACCGCTTCTCTCCCTCTCTCGAGTGATCTGAAGGTTCTCGCGGTTGACAACCTTTGTGATGACATTGATGCCGTTTTGAACCACTATTTATGTTTTATCGACTCCATACTGTAGACATTGACGGTGAATATTATTTAGCCAAAATACACTTGTATAGCCAAAACTTTCGCGTTTGTGCCAATAATAGCCAAATTTGGAGAAATACCAGTTATAGCCAGAATTTTGAAAGTTTTATGACAATTATAGCCATTTCCGTTACAAACTTTAATGGTGTTAGAGACACCGTCAATTAGGTTAACGTTAGAGTGACTAGTATGTCAAATCATCACATACGTCAGCGACAAATCATCATATCATAGCCACTTCATTTAATTTTGAGTTATAAAAATAATAAGTTTTGAAACAAAAAAAAAACAAAAAATATTTTTTTATCTAATTTTCCCCTATCCCATACCAGTCGTCTCCTTTCTCCAAACTTGGTGGCGACGTCGAGCAACGCTCAGCCACCATTTTCTCGAAAACATGCAAAACCTCAGAAAATTTATCTTCCATCTCTAACCCCAATCGATGCCCGAGTGAACATCTTGCCCTTCCTTCTCCCTGCAAATCACTAATCCCTCCTCCCCTGCAGCAATTCTTCATCTTCGGACCACCACTGCAACCCTTCCTCTTCTTCTCGCCGATACCAATCCTCTAGTCGCACCCACCAGCTTTGTCGGCGACCCATAAACCCCAAAACAAGATCTTGTATGGATGAAGTGATCTGGTAGTCATCAATCTTTGTCTGCTTCTCCACGTCTCTCCCCTACTTTGTAGATCTGTCGGGTTATTGTGAGTACCGCCATGGAGATCGAACCGGGAGACTGAGCCCCAATAGTTTCTGCCTCTAGTAGCGTCCACCCAGCATTGGAGTCGCTTCAGTAGAAGACGGTTAATAAAGGTCGGGCAAGAACGATTGTTGTCGCGACGGTTTTTGTTATTCTTCTTGTTGTTGCTGCGAGAGGGATTGGGGATTGGTTTGCATTGGGGAATTGGATCTTGCGATTTGGGAATTGGGGATTAGGTTTTGCGAGGGGGATTGGGGATTGGTTTGCCCTGAGGGATTCAATTTTGCAGTGGGGGGATGGGAGATGGGAACATGGAGAAGAGGACTTCTCCTTTTCCCTTGTGCTAGCACTTTTTTTATTGAACCCTCTGCTAGCATTTGGTCGTCTACTGGGAGGTATTTTCTTTTTATTTTTATTTTGTAATTTTGTATTTTTAATGTTACATCCACGTGGCAATGTTATTGACGAAATGTCGCCATGTTAGCGTGTCTGTTAGTCTAGTCATCTTGTTATATGACACCGTTAAAGAATTGGACGGAAGTAGCAATAACTGGTATTCTCCAAATTTGGCTATTATTGGCACAAACGCGAAAGTTTTGGTTATACAAGTGTATTTTGCCTATTATTTAAGAATCTTTCTGGTTTTTGTGTGGTTCTTTGATAAGGAGATAACGCATAAACGATTGTTTGTGCAATTTGTTGGCTCTCAACTGGATGAAGAATCAACTAACTTTGTTCTTCAAATACACAAATGGATGTTTAATTTAGTGTTATTTTGGTCCGAGTTAGTAAGTAGTATGTCGCGGTCTATTACGGTTTACTGCGGTACACCGCTGTCCAGACCACTTCAGACCACACACTAAATGAGGAGACCCGCAAACTAGACCAAACCATAGTCTAGTCTTACAGTCCAAACCAAACCATACAATACGGTCTAGACCACGATTCCCCGTACGGCCGTGTTAAATTCCAAGCCCTAGGCCAACTCGGGTCAACAACCTTGCTTATAAGAAAAATGAGAAAAATAAAAGGCAAAATACACTTGTGTAGCCAAAACTTTGCGGTTTAGCCAAATATAGCCACTTTTGACGAAATACCAAAAATAGCCACTTCCGTCCAATTCTTTAACAGTGTGAATTAACGTGCTGACTGTACTAACAGATCATCTGATTTGGCAGTATTCGTCCATTACGTATTCCCACGTGGATTTAAATAAAAGAACAATAAAAATATGAGGTTGAAATTTATAATAAAAATAAATAATTATTTTTTATTTTCTCCCTCCACCTCTCTGCCTTCCCCTTCTCTTTCTCTTTCCTAACCAAATCCCCCTTTCCCAAATCATCTTCTTCCTTCCCCTTCCCTGCCCAAACTCCACCGATCAAAGAGGATGGCGCCGGCGGTGAAGAGAACGGGTGTTAGCTCTCCGTTGTTGTTTGCACTGCCGCCGGGCTCCTCCGCCTCCGTTCGCTCCCTTGTTTCGCTTGACTGTAGAGAAGTTAGTCTTCTTGGTGGTCAGGATTCAGAACCCGCATCGATTTGTATCGGCCACGTGGACGGAGAATTGGTGAAAAGCGACCCCGATTCGATTTGAAGACCTTGAAATTTATCGAATGGAGGAGCACCACCCGGGCGACATTGATCTCTTGCTCCCCGTCGAGCAGAACACTGGGAACGATAGCTCCGCAACCACCGTCGCAGCGATCGCCTCCTCGTCTGTCATCACGAAATCTCTCATTTTCTTGTGAAATTGAAGAGGGAACACCAGCAAGGATGGGGTGGGGATTGGGTAACTCTAATTTGGGCTAAAAGCTCTGCAGGGGGAAAATCATGGAACGAGGTTTGTATATATATCCATGGCGGGTTTTAAAACTAGCTCTGGACAATGGTGAAAGAAAGAGGAAGGCCGTGAGGGCATTTTGCGGAATAAAGAAAACAATTGAACGACGTGTGGGATAGCAGGTGTTTTTTCCGCTGGGTTGTTGCAGGGAGATGACGGCAGGAGAAGCTGCAGAAGACGCCGACGATGATGGAAAGGAGAGAGGACGACAACATCGAGTGGTGGGAGAGGAGAGAGGATGAGAAAATAATTTGTGATTTTTTTTATTTTTAAAATTAAAATATGATATAGCATCCATGTGGCAAGTGTTGTTGAGGTGTCAATGATGTGTCCGGTGAGTTGGCAGCCAGGTAAGTATTTTGTTAATTTGACTAACGGTGTCACTAACGCCGTTAAAATATGGAACGGAAATGACTATATTTGTCAAGAAACTTTCAAAATTTTGGTTATTTTTGGTATTTCGTCAAAAATGGCTATTATTGTCACAAACGTGAAAGTTTTGGCTACACAACTGAATTTTGCCAAAATAAAATAATTAACAAATCAGCGTTTCAAATATTTGCATTTGCGGAAACGGAAAGAGAAGCAAGAGGTAGGGATGGCAACAAAACCCGAACCCACGGGTACCCACCCGACCCAACCCGGTCAACGCGGGTAAAATCCGTGTTGACGGGTTTTGGGCCGGGTTTGGGTTTAAACCCGTTCACTATTCATCGGGTTGGGTTGAGTTTGGGTTTAGGTAAACCCGACCCATGGGTACCCGCCCATATCTATATAATTAATTTTCTCGATATATTTGATATTCTAAGAAACTAACATGTTTGTGGATACATGTCTAATTTTTTCTTTCTAATTGTGTAGAATTAAGTTGATGTTATCGAGTAGAGAGTGGAAAAACTTAATTGAAAGGAAGAAGCTTTCAATTAATCATGTTATTTATGGATAATTTGTGATTTGCTTCAATTTTCTTGAGTTTTCTAAATTGGTGTTGAACAATTTGTATAGTTAATTTGTGATTTGCTTGAATTTTCTAGAATGATGTTTTATATATGGATAATTTTTATTGAGAGATTGATATTTGACTTTAATTTTGATAGGAACGTGTTATTGTAAATTTTTACGACAAAAACCCGTGGGTACTCATGAACCCGCGGATTGGGTTGGGTTTGAATTTTTCAAACCCAATGGGTTTTACCCCGGATTTTTTTCACGGATAAACCCATGGGTTTGATTTTGGGTTTGGCAAAATCCGACCCAACCTGACCCATTGCCATTCCTAACGAGAGGGTGAGAGGGGAATCGCCGAATCGGGCACGCGAGCGACCGAGCGAGCGAAGCAAAGAAGGCGGGTGAGGCGTGGCGTGGGCGGGAGGAAAGAAAGAAACAGGCAAAACGGTCGTTACGATGGAAAAAAAGAAAAAGGGGAAAAAGGACAAAAAGAAAAAGTGCTTGGAGAAGGGGTCGCCTTCTCTCTCTTTTTCATTTTTGCTCATTTCTTATTTCTCTCCTCCTCCTCCTCCTCCTCCTCCTCCACTTTCAATTCTTCTGGCGATGCGAATACCATGGCAGGGCAAGAAGAAGAATAGTCGCGTGTCTGAATTCGTAATCCCAAAACAAAAACAGAGTTTCCAGTTAGATTAAATCTTACGCTGTCCCATTCTATTTCCCTCCAGAAACTTTTCCTCCCTACGATTCCAATCTCGCTGGAGCCTTGTCTTCTCCGATTCCTCTATCTATCTCTCTCTCTCTCGTTTTGCTTGGCTCTTGCCAGGACCGCCGTTCTGCCTCAACGCTTCCTGTTTCCTCTTCTACCCTCCCTCCTGCTCTTCGTCCGACAGGTGATTCTCTCATGTTCTGTTCCTTTTCTTCCCGTCTCCCGTCTTCGGTTTGGCCTGTCCGCCACCATGACCATGTTCGTTTCTCAATTTTTTGAGAAACTATGGTGAACGGTGTGGTGTTGTAGGTTTTGAATCTTACGCTTATCTAATTAGGTACTAGGATTTGATTTTCTTGATTGATTGCGGAGGGTTCCCGAAATCTCCTTTTATCACTACCACGTTACGTTACGTTACGTATTTGATTTGTTTCGGATTCAGCCTACTGAATTCAACAGAGAGCTTTCTATATCCGTCTGAATCTTCCATGATTACGGCAATTTTCCAGTATATGCATCGAATTCTTTTCTGTGGAGCTGCGTGATATATTTTATGATGATAATCACGCTGTTGGTCGCGTAATTGATCCAACAGTTGGCTAGGACAAGGACATGCACAATTTCACTGTTGGATTCCCTTACAGTCCTCTTCTTTCCACTCTATGCATCTGCCCATTGATATCCATCTTCAATGCTTTCTCTTCCATTGTTTGTCCTGACCTGCACCATTTATTATGCTTCTCGTTCTTGCTATATCTCCACTTCAGGGTAGAGCTAGAAGCTTATGGGTGCCTAGGGGTAGCCCATTAAGACATTTCTCTTCTTGTTGGAACCTGTTTAATGCTTCTTTTTGTCTCTGTCTATTTGCTGGTGCAGAGCCATGCCTGCATTTAGTGCTATAGCGTTGGACAGGTTGTTAGAACCTGGAGCTTCTCAATCTCAAGACAAGTCTATTCCGCCCAGTGGGTACCTTGTTCCAAACCCAAAACCTCCTCCACCTCGTTCCACATTGCAGAGGAGAAACAGCACCTCAATCACAGAGAAGAGTCCTCATCGCCCTCAGCTAACCCCTTCACTATATACAACTCCTGAGGCAACTCCTGTCCCTCCTGGTTCTCCCACTTCGTATGCCTCCTCACCGTATATTATCAACCACAAGCGAAGAGGCCCACGCCTTGCAAAGAGCACTTCTGTAGATAACATTGCATCTCAAGGGAAGGCCTTAGATAAAGACGAAGCCAAAGGGAGCTCAAAGAGTTCTGAATCTCAGGTTCATGATGTAGCTAGAGATAAGCCTGCTGCTTTAGCTCGTCTGAACTTTGATAAAATAGAGCCTGTGATTCATGAGATTTCTGTGGAGAAGGAGCTTCCTAATGGCATCTGCAATATATCTCCTAAAGCATTGCAAATCAAAGGTCACCAGGAGGGTGCAAAAGTGAGCAGTAATGGGAAAGTTGGAATTACTAACATTAGGCATGGCTTTCTGAAGGAAAAGGATGGTTCAAGTGCACGGGATAGCGATGTCGATGACTTTTTTGATCCACAAGAATCACTGAGTCATGCTAGCAACACCGATAGTGAAGATAATGTTGGATCTTTTGCTTTGCAAAGTAGCAGTGCACAAATGGCAGAGTTTTTTGATGCATGGGAAGGTACACTGCTCTTCTTTCTATATTTTCCTTTATATTACTAAAAATGAATTCTTGCAAGCTGTATTCTGACGTTGTGTGGGATGATGACGGGGTCAGTGACTTCTGAGTGTTATTTTTTCTTCTTGATATAATTTTCATCTGGTGTACTTTCTCATGTTCTTTTTAAGGTTGCTCAAGTTGGGGTGCTGTTTTAGCACAGTGATAGTAGGAGCATGCATATCATATGCATATAGAGGTCTTATCATGCGATTATGAACTTATTTCTGGTTATTATCATCTCAGAACTTTCTTCTGAAAGTGGCCTGCAGTCTGCTCTCCATGATTTTCAATCTGAACTGCGGGGAACACGATTGAGTTTGTTGATGGAGATAGAGAAGCGCAGGCAAGCAGAGGATGCCTTGAAAAATGTGGAAAGCCAATGGCAGAGAATCATGCAACAATTGGCTCTTGCAGGATTGACTGTTCCGCCTTGTCCCATTGATGATCAACCTAGCAGTAATACTGATCCCGCAGAGGAGCTGTGCCAGCAGCTCGATGTAGTTCGCTTTGTATCCAGTTCTATTGGCCAGGGCATAGCAAGAGCTGAGTTGGAGGTGGGGATGGAAGCACAGCTAGAGGCAAAGAACTTTGAGATTGCACGATTGGTTGACCGACTTCATTATTATGAAGCCGTGAATCGAGAAATGTCTCAAAGGAACCAAGAAGCTGTAGGTAAGAAATTCAGTGCCTGCTGTTTACTTATGTTATTTGCTCTGCTATCTCCGGCTGTAACTGTTGGCACTTGGAGGATTTGGCCATTGAAGCAAATAGTTGAAGTAGCTGGGTGTTTGGAAAATCTTTTAAAATAAGTAAAAATCGTTGAAGTGAAGTGATGTGGTGGTTTTTTGACTTGTTAGGGTTTCATGAAATTATAAAAATATGCGCGAAATAACTAAAATGCCTGCAAAAGCTTTTAGAGTTCTATAGAACGTGTGGAAGCATAGAAGAGATGATGGAAGAGAGGAATGCGAGGGTGCGGGGGTGGGGTGGGCATCAATTTAATTCAAATTCTAAAGGTCGATGGTAGAAGTTGCAGGGTGTATCAGATTGAAAAATCGACCATCTGATCTACTAGTTGAATCAAATTGGGATAATAGTCTGATCGAATGCATGCTTCTTCATTGCATGACTGGGTAACTTGCTTAACATTTTTCATCTAACGCCAAGTAAAGAATACTATTTCAATCTGCATTTGGTTTTGGGGACTTCGTACTGGTATAGTTGTGGTGCATTTGCTGATCACTTATCCGCTGCTTTCCTTTGTGTAGAAATGGCTCGAAGGAATAGGCAGGTGCAGAAAAGGAGACAAAGGTGGGTATGGGGTTCAATCTCTGCTGCAATTACTCTTGGCACTGCAGCTCTAGCATGGTCGTACCTTCCACCGAGAGGGGGATCAACAGCTTCAACCGCCAGCGGCTCTGTGGAAAGTGAGCAGCCCGATAGTGCATCTTCAGATTGAACCATCCTGCGCAGTCGATGTTGATATTCTATATCAATCATAGAAGAATAAAAAGGTGGTTGTATATGACGTGACACCAATACAGCAGCTATATCACTTGCGGCGGCAGAACCTTTTTCCTGCCAGCGGAGATTGAAGATCACTTGATAATGTCTAAATTACACCGTGTAATATAGTCATCCGTTCTGGCTAGGCAATCAAGAAAAAAGCTGTAATTTTTTTTTGTTTTGGTCAGTGATTATATGTCATATTGGGATTTCCTTCTGTTTCAGCTATTGATTCCGGCACAAACATTTAGTGATGAAGAGGGTTGAAATATCTGTTTGATGTGCCCAGTTAGCTTAAGCCAAGTGTCTTGGGGGATGGAGTGCCCTGCGTATAACTGGCTTGTCCTGGTTCTGGGATGCTAGCTGGACTAACGAATTGCATTTTCTTGTTATTCGAGGTTACATTCATTCTTCCATATTGGTGTGTTTTCCATATTAAGTATTAACCAAAAACAGATAAGGGTTTCTGTAACACCCTAGACCGGTCGGTCATATAATTTACCAAAAGACAATGTCTTTGATAACCATAAAATGTTCAATATGAAAAGTACTGTAGAAATATCACATCAATCAAATCCAAATTCAAAAGAGAAACACATTCTTTTTTTTTTTTTTGGTAAGAAGAGAAACACATTCTTAATAAGGAAAAGCAAACATCTGTCTCAAGTCCACTAAAGAACAATGCATAAACTTTAAAAGTTCTTCGTGAAGCTTCCTTAGCTACTAACCCCTCTGATGACATCCTGAACAGCAACTGTGCACTTGTGGGTGGTCTACAAGCTCCTGGTTTCTGGCAGCTCCTGAATGCGGGCGTTGGGGTCCTAATCTTAATTCCATTCTTTACATAATATAGAAATGAAGCAAAATGCAAATGGTTGCAAATGTTCATGTATACAAATATTTACTGGACTTGTAAATGATTTTCTTGAAATAGACATTCTTTACGAAAAGGGGCCCCGAGCTCAACTTAACTAGCACGCCACCACGATCACCAAAATACTTAAACATGATCGTATTACCCAGGAGTAGGGTTCGTAACCTCCTTATTACCCATGAGTGAGGTTCGTAACCTCCTTAATCATAACATGAGGTGACCGCGTGCGGCTAGCTAAGTGAGGTTTAAAACATGTTCTTACTTGCTTATAAACTTGAACATGAATCTCATAAACGCAGAACTCGAACATAAATATCGTATAAGGGTTATCGATTAACTCGAATAACATGCGTAATAAATAATTCTGAATGGAATACTAACTAGCTCCCTTAAACCACACACCTTATTAACTCAAGACGTTTACAACTTGAAGATTGGTGCCCTTTGCTTGGGTGATTCCCCTCTTGATCCTATGGCGAAAACTGAAGTTAGATCGGTTTGGTTTCGAGTTCTTAGCGACGGTTTTCTCGACTTGGGACTACTTTGCAAGATGTGCAAAGTATGATATACTAATATACCAATTAATTATCACACTAGGATCATAACTCTTTAAATCTAGTACCCTTGCGGCCTTAGTTAATTTAAATATTGGAAAACTAATCGTGCTAAAATAAAACTTATGTGGTTATTCAAAAGTCATGTTCTAGTGTATATTAATCAATTGAATCAACTAGTACGTTCACTACTCCACCACTTAACTTATTCCATTACTGTTTTTGAGAGAAAGAGCTATCAATTAAGGAATTAAACTCTTGTTTTTAGCCAAATAGTGAGTCGGTTATAACTAGAATCCTTTATTGACATAATAATTTCATCTATCAACTCACCCCAAAGATCTCGCGTGTTAACTAATTACTATTAATCAAGTAATTACATAAATCATTAATTGATAAAGACCATGGACATCTCTTAATCACCACGATTACTTCATGTATCCTATTATCTAGCCTTTTTATCATGTTATTGGATCAAGTACTTAATTAACTCAACTAAACCATTTTATCAACTTCTAGTTATTATTTAACATCTTAGTCCCCACACTACGAAGATACCTAATTAATCAACGACTAAATCAAATATACATAATTCATACTTATTAACCTACAACTTTTTAGTGACGGGTATTGAGTCCGTCACGATATCATTACTAGCCGTCTCAAAAGGTCTGGTCGAACTACTGACTGACCTTTAGCGATGGCCACATAACCGTTTCCAAAGACCTGTAATTCCGTCGCTAAGTTCCAGATTTCTACAAAATCGAATAACTCACATAAATGCTGCTTTTTAGCACGAGGGTTTGAGCTTCCTTACCTCTAATACGAGTCTAGGCCTAGGTAGGAAGCTTTAGGACCTCAGTTTCTTGTTTGGATCGTCGTTTGGTCACCCCGCTTTTTCGCCTCTGAAGCTACGCCATAGAAAGACCATTTTTATGTTAGTTATGTAGCCTTGAAGTTTGAATGGCGAGGGGATTCATTTTGCTTACCTACTGGTAGAGAGAGAACGGGAGATACGAATTTGGTAGCTATGGGTCGCACCTTCCTCCTCCGGTGATGACGATGACGACGACGATGAGAGGTTGGCGGAAGGAAAGAGGGAGTGAGCTTGATGATGATGGGAACAAGTGTTGATCTGGAGGGTTAATAGTGGTAGGAAGTACCGAGAGTGAGATGGATGGCTTGATGGTTACTTCTATGGGCGGATGGGAGAAGATTGGTTGTCGATTTATGGAATAAGGGGAAGGGTTGGGGATATGGAGGGAGCACCGACACCATCGCCAGCTCACCATGCTCCTCGCCCCCTCCTAATTAAAACTCCAACTCCTCAGGTCAGATGCATGAATGGAGTTATTACAGTTTCTACAAAAAAAAAAAAAAAAGATAAGGGCACTAACGGTTTCGGTTTTGGTGTGGATAAAACCAAACACCAAAAATATAGCCTCTGCGGATCTGTTATCGACGTCACAACAAAGTCTATTCACCCAAATTTCTCGTTAGATCATTTGGTGGCGCTAATCACGCAACTCACTGGTGGTCCACCATCCGGTGACATGGGATCGTTCAGCGTCACCACTAGGTATTGTCAGGGAATAACTCTTGGTCGTGTGACACTTAGTACTCAAGTCTCATTAGACCATTAAGTCAGCCTAGCTCACATTCACTCAAACTCACAAGTGTAGAGAAAATTCTAGAGATGGAAAGCTCTCAATTTCTGGATAAATGAAATATGAGAGAGAGGGCTACTTATATAGGCATCCTCTCCACAAGGTACAATGTATGTAGGCCGTCATAATGAACGAACCTAGAAGTCCCACCATACATGAATCATAATAAGTAAGGTGAATACATAATAGATAAGGGGGATGCATGTAAATTGGAGCATGAATCTAGAGATGCATGCATGTACCTACACCATTCTAGAATATTCCTTGTGACATTATCCCCCACTCAATCTCGCGACGCCCTCGTCGCGGACTCCGCATGAAATGCCTCGATCAAGTCTTTGTGACGCCATTGCGAAAGCTCTTTCTCCCAAGTGATGTCGCTTTCTGGCCGCCCCTTACAATTGACAAGATACTCCACCTAGCTTGGGGGAACGCCACGCCTAGTCACAACACGATGAGCCATGATCTCCTTCACTTTGTGTTCATGTATTGTGGTGACGAGAGTTGGTGCCCTCGTTGACTCCCATCTTCCCCGTTTTCTTGATAAGGCTTCAATTGGCTCACATGGAAGACGGGGTGAATCTCCAAGTGCGATGGCAACTCAACTTTGTACGCCACCATGCCAACCCTTGTCATAATAGGATATGGCCCTTCGTAGCGCCACAACAGCCCCTTGTGCACATTTTTTAGGTGCTTGAACCGATAAGGGAAGAACTTCACCATCACTAAGTCTCCCTTCTCAAATTCCAAGTAACGCTGCTTCTTATCCGCCCACTTCTTCATCTTCCTTGTTGCTCAACCGAGATAAGAATTAGGCAGCTCCATCATCTCATGCCATCTGCGTGCAAATTTGTAGGTAGAGGCATTGTTGCCTTTGTACCCCGTCGTCACCGTATTTGGTGTCAACGGTTGCTGCCCGATAGCCAACTCGAACGGGCTTATGCTTGTGGCTTCACTTCAGTGTAAGTTGTAGGAGAATTGGGCTACATTTAGTAGCTTGACCCAATCCTTCTAGTTGGCACTCACATAATGCCTCAAGTAGACTTCCACCAAAGCATTGACACGCTCGGTTTGCCCATCAGTTTGAGGAAGAAAACTCGTGGAGAAGTTTATATTGGAGCCCATCATCTTGAACAGCGCCCTCCAAAACTTGCTGGTGAAGCGACCATCTCTATCGCTCACAATGCTGATCGGGATGCCCCAATACTTCATGACATGCTTGAAAATGACTCGCTACAACACAACTCCTAACAATGGCCAAGTGTAACCAATGAAAGAGACTGCAATATAGTGACACAAGTAATAAATATTGAATCCACGAGTCTATAGAGTTATTATTACTCAACTTCAGTTCATTATCTAGCAAACTAGATTAATGATTGATTAACTAAATTACTCTACTAACTAAACTAAGGTTAAACAACTAATTACAGGTTAGGAACTCACTTAGGTATGATTCCCTCTAGTCTGCAGTTATGCCAAGTTGTAATTCACCCAATCCAATTCAATTGATAGATATACTGTGGAAAGTTCTTGACAAGTCTGGAATCTCGACTAAAGTAATCCAGACCCTCTCAGTTCAAATACCCGCCGGGAGACTAACCTCCACCGGCATAAACTAACCAAGGCACTAACACACCAAACTTCCACTACTGGTTTTCAATTCCAGTATAGAGCAGTGAATCAACTTCTCGACTAAAGCAATCGATTCACTACTTCCAATTAAGGTTGCTCTATTAAACTATGCACATACCATCATTCTAGGTTAAAATAAGAATCAAAAAAGTTTGATAAGAACTCAATAATTGTGAATCAATGCCTCAACTGAATATAAAACGTCAAACAATAATGAATTCGAGTTCATACAACACTTCCTAGCATACAAATCTAGGGTTCCTCAAAACTTAAGTGAAGGGAAGTTACTCCATAGAGAAGAGAGAGAATGCAGGAATCTTATCTAAATCTTCAATCTCCATCTCCAAGCCTGATTCCCGAGCTCTAATGGTGAACAAATCCTCCAAAATAGCTCCAAGAATGATCCCAAGGTGTGCTCTCTCTTTCTCTCTCTCTACGATTCGTCCCTTATGTTTTTTGGGATCCAAAATCCAGCTACCCCTCTCCAAAATCCGCAAAAACGCATTTATATAGCTCACATAGGCCAAGTTACGGGCAAAGTTATGGCCAGCCCGTAACTTTGGATAGGCTGTGGTCTTTCGGTCCTTTCTCACTCATCTCCAAGCAAAGTTTGGGAGACAGGATGATCATTCTCTCCACCATGAGAGGTGCTAGCTTAAGCAAGCAGGAGGCGATGTTCGCCGGGGAAATCAAATCGGTGCTGCCTACTCCCTCTACTGCGAGAGGTGCTAGCTTAAGCAAGCAGGAGGCGATCATTAAGCAGGCAGGAGGCGATCATTAACCAAGCATGTGGTGTCGGCAAATTAGGGCAAAAGCGCATAGTCATTCTCCCTACCATGAGAGATGCTTGCTTAAGCAACACATGATTATTGCCCTGTGGCACGGACGGCCGACGAGGGGAAGGAAGCATGAGGGACGGCGGATTCAGGGCGGCCAATAACGACCAAAGTAAAGCCGATCCATTTAATTTCATTTGCCGCTGCTCCAATTTTATTCAACCAAGTACGAGTGTAATATGTGGAAGCGAGTATGGAAACTTTGGAGCAAAATCAAGCCAGTTCCGACGGAAGTAAGGTGAGTGTAAAGGGGGTAAATTCTACGCCTTACGTATTCTTTAAGTATTATGATTTTGAGTATTTTAGCGAATTGGTTACCGTTGCTTGGTTATGTTTATGTTTGCTTATTCGTGCTTTGCTTGAGCTATGATTTAAGGTGATTTTGTGCTATTTGAGGTGATTTTGTGCTATTTACCTTAAAGCGTTATGTTTAAGCTATGGTTAAAGTTTAAGAAACAAGTTCTTTTTAAGAAGTAACTCACCTTCAAGAAGGTGAAGTCGTTTTAAGTGTTTTTAGTCACTAGAGCCAGTCCGTTGCCTTTTGAGACATTTTGAGATAGAGCAGCAGTTATGCTCTTGAGACTTTTAAGATGAGCAGCAATTATGCTCTTGAGAATCGTGGTGAAGAGCCACCATGATAAGTTTAAGATGTTAGGGGGATGAATCGTTACGACTCCCCTAACTAAGTTTAATTTTAAGGAAAGCCTGGATGGCTTCTCATACGTATGAGTTGGCAACCGGACTAGCTAGTGAGGGATCCCCGTGTCAGTCAAAAGTTTAAGTAAGGATTTGAGCTTTAAGAGAGGAGAGTAACTTCAACTCCCTCAAAGTTTAAGAGTTAAGATTTTAAGATGGGAAGTACAAACAACTTCCACTAGTCAAAGTTAAGTGTTTAAGTAAAGTACTCAAGTATTAGAATTATTAAAACGTAAGGGCCTAGACTGACCCCAACTCACTCACCATGCCTTAGTAAGGGAATGAGCGAGAACCAGATCGGTAGCAGCTAGCTAGAGGAGCAGTTAGAGAGCAGCGAGTTCGAGAGGAAAAGTTCGAGAGCAACCAGCTAGAGGAGGGCAGTGCAAGCGTCACGGAGGATGCCTAGTTAAGATTTTCAGTAGCAGCAACGACAGAGACTACCTAGTATTTTATTTATGATTTTTTTTCCGCTGCAATTTAAGATTTGAGCATTTTATTTATCAAGGGCATTTTAGTAAAAGTAGTACCCGGCCGGGTTAGGGTGTTTCATTTTGGTATCAGAGCCTGGTTTTCCTCTGTTCCTTGGTTTTCAGGGAATACTGGAACACAAGTACCGTGAATACAAGCAGTTGCCCGTGAACTGCCGTGATCGATGCAGAGCATTTTGGCGCAAGGCGTGAGTTCACCGACGTGTTTGATGGTTCACGGCCATGAACTCAGCTCTTCTCGGGTTTAAAAGTTGAGCTGCAAGGAGGAGAGAGGGGAGAGCCACTTTTGTGAGAGAAACACCTTCTTCTGCATTTTAGTGAGAGAAATAGAACTATAGAGAAGAAGAGTTAAGGCTTGGCTTCAAAGGAGGTTTTGGGAAGATTTTCCCAAGGAAATCCCAGCTCAAGGGTCAAGAAGAGAGGAGGCATCCCCAAAAGATGGTTTCCCCCTTTGTCCACTTTGTTGGGAAGTACAAACAACTTCCACTAGTCAAAGTTAAGTGTTTAAGTAAAGTACTCAAGTATTAGAATTATTAAAACGTAAGGGCCTAGACTGACCCCAACTCACTCACCATGCCTTAGTAAGGGAATGAGCGAGAACCAGATCGGTAGCAGCTAGCTAGAGGAGCAGTTAGAGAGCAGCGAGTTCGAGAGGAAAAGTTCGAGAGCAACCAGCTAGAGGAGGGCAGTGCAAGCGTCACGGAGGATGCCTAGTTAAGATTTTCAGTAGCAGCAACGACAGAGACTACCTAGTATTTTATTTATGATTTTTTTTCCGCTGCAATTTAAGATTTGAGCATTTTATTTATCAAGGGCATTTTAGTAAAAGTAGTACCCGGCCGGGTTAGGGTGTTTCATTTTGGTATCAGAGCCTGGTTTTCCTCTGTTCCTTGGTTTTCAGGGAATACTGGAACACAAGTACCGTGAATACAAGCAGTTGCCCGTGAACTGCCGTGATCGATGCAGAGCATTTTGGCGCAAGGCGTGAGTTCACCGACGTGTTTGATGGTTCACGGCCATGAACTCAGCTCTTCTCGGGTTTAAAAGTTGAGCTGCAAGGAGGAGAGAGGGGAGAGCCACTTTTGTGAGAGAAACACCTTCTTCTGCATTTTAGTGAGAGAAATAGAACTATAGAGAAGAAGAGTTAAGGCTTGGCTTCAAAGGAGGTTTTGGGAAGATTTTCCCAAGGAAATCCCAGCTCAAGGGTCAAGAAGAGAGGAGGCATCCCCAAAAGATGGTTTCCCCCTTTGTCCACTTTGTTCTTCCCACTTCTTCCATGGAGTAGTCAACCTTTCACTTGGGTGTAGTGAAACCCTAAACCCTACCATGTAGTTTTCTTGTATGTGGTTTGGATGATTGATATTGGGTATTTTTCAATTTAATGTTTGAGGTATTTTTCACCATGATTTTGCATGCTTGTGCTTAACAACTTAGAGGTTTGCATATTTTTTGCTTAGCATCCTAGGGATTGTGCATAATTGTGCTTAGCAGTCCTAAGTTTGTGCATTTAGGTGCTAGTAATCTACTTTGCCAACTTAGCCTAATTTAGAGAGGAAAATCCCCCTTTTTAAGGGAGACTCAATCAAGTTGGTTTTCCTTCCACTTTCCAAGCCACCTAAATTAGGTTGAGTTAGGGAAATCCTCAATATTGAATTGAACAAGTCGATTAATCGTGGTTAAACCGTCCGACCTTAGAGTTGAGTAAGGAAGTAAACCATTACCGATTGTCTAAACCAAGAGGGTCGAGTGACACGACCTTTCATCCTCACCTCGGTTTAGCAATCGAGACTGTGGTCTCCGACCACATACGCTATCCTCTGCGGTTCACGATCAACATGCCTAAGGCAATTGTTCCAACCCATGTAGCATGGTAGCGGTTAGGGGGAAGCGAAATCCAAGTGACTTTCCCACAAAAGAGTTTTCAAACCAAATTACTTTTTCTTTCTTTTATTTCAATTGGAAAACCTTTAAACCAAAGTTTTATCGCTAGATAATGATTTCAACAACTGAAGTAGGAGTAGACGGACCGGCTCGGGTCGATATATAGATACTTGCTCTATACTGCACCCGATTAGAGTTTAAAAACTTGGGCTCTAATTGGGGTTTAATTGTTGTGTAGTTTGGTGCGAGTCAAACTTCTCACTTCTCATTTGTTCTTCTTTGATTTCTAGGGTTAGAAATGAGGAATTTGTCTCAACTCCTCTTCCCTGTTGTCGGCAACATCTCTGCTTAAAGTCATGAATCTAGAAGGTGCGGAGGTGGCAGACCTTGTAGATGATGTCGCCGTTGCCGTGGTAGAGGATGGAGAGCTTCACGACATCGGAGGAGAGGAAGGAGGAAGTCGTGGTGGCGGGGCAGAGAGAGGGGATTGGGAAAAAAAGGGCGGCAGTCGGCGTCATTTCAGGGAAGCGAAGGTTGAGCTGGCGTTGTTGGTATATGACTATTTGCAATGCTGCCCAATTGCTGAATTGAAGATTCGAGACAAACCTAGAATCAAGAAACGCATGAAAAGGTAGAAATTTCCTAAATGAGTTTGCTATTGCTAATTTATTAATTTGGTTGGTTTTCGTTGGAATTTGGTAGTACCTTATTAATTAACTTCACTTCCTTTTCGTTTTCAGTTCATGTTGATGTTGATTTCATCTCCATTTGGTTATGTTGTTCAGGTTGTGGCCCTTGTCTACAATTTCGTAGGTTCACATGATTCATCAAGTGTGAGGCTTAATCACTCGGAGCTAGAAACTCTATTTCACGAGTTTCGTCATTCCCTTTATAAACTTCTCTCAAGAACAATGAGGGAGATGCCATTATATGCAGAACAAATATACCATTTTTCTTTATGTCCCTCAATGTAGGATTTCTTTACTCGTACTAGAAAGGTCTCTTCCCATCTTTTCTGCTAGTTATATGGAATGCATTTAATGTGCTCCTCGAAATGAATTTATGAGTAGAAGTTGTTATGTATGCACAATAAGTTGATTAATAGAATTTAATCCATCATTTGGACTTGATCACATCCCTGGATGCTACGCTTGGGAATACAAAGTCTTGAAGAGATTTGCAAAGCACTATGCAACTGAAGAAGTTATACCCGAGAAATTGGAGGATTCATTGCTAGGTGCTAGTTGGGACATGTTTGCTGCTACTGAACTTCAACGCCGTGTTTTGTTTCCATTTTTAATAAGGTAGCTAGTTTTGGAGAGTAGGTGTTCCTTGGTTTGTTGTGATTGTTACTGCAAAATGAAATGGGACATGAATTTTGTCGAGCTTTGCCTATGTTTCGTCTGTTCTGTTCTGGAGCTGGTCAAGCTTTGCTGGTTGTGAGAAGTTGAGATTTATTGTTGGTTGTAGCTGTGATAGTTGGAGATTTGCTTTAGTTACTGTTGTTACTTGTTAGTTTACTGCTGGTTTTGGGGAGTGATTATGTTTTGGCCTTTGGGGCTATGGGGTTTGGGTTTTAAGTTTTAACAGAGCGATTTGACAATGGCTACTACTGTTGTTGTGTTACTAATGGCTATGAAGTTTAATTAGTGATTCAAAATCAATGACTGCTGCCTGTGAAAAGGAGTGTAGTGTCTACTAAACTTGCTACTTCTTATTGTTATAGATGCAATGATTAGTGAACACATAGGGCTTCGGCAGAGTACAAGAATGATAGAGATCCATGATGAAGAATTCGAGTTTAAAGATGAGGAAGAGTAGTATGGAGAGGAGATTTCTTTTGAGGATGATGAAGATGAAGTGGCGTCTGAAAGGAATTACTTGGATGATGAAGAATGAAAATTTTCCAATGTGCTTATTGACTATTGTTTAGCATTTCGATATTTTATGAACTTGTGATATTAGGAAAGGGTTGCTACTTGCTTGTTATTTGTTATGTTAAGTATTAAATGTTGAGAATATTTTGCTGCGAATGCGTAAGCACGCCTAGGCTACGCTTAATCGGGCAAGGCGCAAATCAGGAGCCGAGCACTTGCCTTACGCCTAGCGTCTTTTTGAACCTTGGTGAAAAAGGAACACAACTTAATGTAAAATCGGCCAAAGTATGATAAACACCAAGCTAAACAATCACGAAATGAGGGTTAAAAACATGTGCAAATTTAGTGTTACAAAAAAACAAAAGGGTTGCATCCTCGGCCTTCATATCTTTCGGCCCCACGATGAAGACTCCATACTTCGAAAATATGTCGACGACGACCATGATGGAACCACACCCTTCAAATTTGGGAAGACCGATGATAAAATCCATGCTAACACTTTCCCAAGGTCATTGTGGAGTGGGTAATGGCTCCAACAAGCCCGCCGGACTCCGCTGCTCAATCTTGTCTTGCTGGTAGACAAGGCAAGTCTTGACGTAAAGTTCCACGTCGTCTTGCATATGAGGCCAATAGTAATCCTCTTCAACCAGAGCTTGTGTGTTCTCGGTACCGGGGTGACCAGCCCACTTTGAGTCGTGACGATCCTTCATGATCTCACTTCATAGGTTGTCCCATCGCGGCACGAACACTCGCTGCGATGAGCACACCTTTCATCCAAAACCGCCAAGTCTTCCCTTGCTTGATGTACTCGACCACGGTTTTGGCGAAGGGGTCGGGACCAAGGCCTTCTTCGATCCTCTCCCTCAAGGGGAACTGTGGCTTGCTGATGGCGGCAAGTGTGCCCTTTCGGCTAAGAGCATCGGCAACAAATTTGACTTTCCCCGGTTTTTACTCTAACACAAAGTCGAACTCCGAGAGGAATTCTTGCCACCTTGATGGCTTGGGGCTAGGCTTCTTCTGCGTGAGAAAGTAGCTCGTCGCCACGTTGTCCGTCTTTACCACAAATTTTGACCCGAGCAAGTAATGCCTCCATGTTCTAAAACAATGGACCACCGTCGTCATCTCCTTTTCTTGCACCGCATATCTTCTCTTGACCTCATTGAGCTTGCGGCTCTCAAATGCAATTAGGTGTCCCTCATGCATCAACACACCACCGATAGCAAAATCGAAAACTTCAGTTTGTACCACATACGCCTTGGTGGGATCAGGAAGAGCTAGCACCGACTCACTTGTCACTGCATCCTTCAAGGCTTCAAAAGCTTCATGGCACCGATCCGACCATTCCCAAGCCTTGTTCTTCTTTAGAAGATCCGTCAAGGATGATGTAAGATCGGAGTATCCCTTGATGAATCTCCTATAATAGTTGTCCAGACCCAGGAATGATCGCAACTGGGTGACCCTCGTTGGTGCCTCCCATACTTGTACCGCCTCCACCTTTGCTCTATCCATCTTCAGTTTGCCTCCACCAATGATATGGCTGAGGAAAGGAACCACCGCGGCGGCAAACATGCACTTCTCTTTCTTGACATATAGCTCGTTGTCTCGAAGGACTTGGAACACTTGCCGTAAGTGCTCGGCATGTTCATCGAATGTGTTGTTGTAGACCATGATGTCATCTAAATACACCACGACGAAGAGATCCAAGAACGACTCGAATACTTGATTCGTTAGAGTGTAAAAAGTAGCAGGAGCATAGGTTAGACCAAAAGGCATAACTAAGAACTCGTATTACCCATACCTCGTGACGCAAGTAGTCTTCGCTTCCTCCCCCTCGGCTATCCTCACTTCATAGTACCCCGAGCGAAGGTCAAGCTTCATGAAACACTTTGCTTCTCCAAGTTGATCAAACAAGTGGACAATGTTGGGGATTGGCTACTTGTTCTTCACCGTGAGCTTGTTGATAGCTCGATAGTCGATGCACATCCGCAACAAACCATCCTTCTTATTTTGGAAGAACACAGGTGTTCCATAGGGGGATTTCGATGATCTGATGAAGCCAACATCCATCATTCCTTTAGTTGCTTCCTCAATTCCTCCAACTCGGGAGGGGTCATGCGATAAGGTGCTCTTGTTGGCGGCGTTGCTCCTGGCTCAAGCTCGATCTTGTGATCGACTTCTCTTCTTGGCAGGAGCTTCTTTGGCAAATCTTTCGGCATCACGTCCACGAACTCCTCCAACACGCCCTCGATGAGAGGTGTTGTCTCCATCGAGCCTCCTTCTTCCTTCATCTGCAAAGTAACATGGGACGTGGGTTCCATCTTTTTCACTTCTTTCACCACTTGCATGCCCGATAGAGCTCTTCTCAGCCCTTCTTCGCACAACAACTTTTCCGCACAAAACTTATCCCATATCAAGGTAGAGAGTGTTGGAATTCATCGCCATCACCGAACCCTCCTTCACCATGAAATTGACGCCAAAGATGACCGGATGATCATCCGTTGTGTTGATGCTGAAGTCTGCAACACCTTCCTAACCTTCAATCTTCAATGACACATTTTTGGAAACCCCATGTATTGGTATTGCCTTGGAGTTGACGTTCTTGAGCGATCCTTGCCTATTCTCTTAAGAAATCCCCAAGTGCTCCTCCTCCTCCACTCTAAGTTGTTGGTCGCACTGGTATCAACCAATGCTCTCGCCTCGCCTTTCTTGAATTGGGTGATAACAATGAATCTCCCATTTTTGATCTCATTGGCACCCGACTTGACGACGCCTAGCCTATGCATGGAGCCTATCTTCCCTTCCGCTTCACTAGGATTTTCCTTGGTCTCATCTTCTTGTTTCTCCAAGGCTTCTAGCTTGCTCTTCTTTAGGCAGTCCCACACCTTATGTGGACCGTTGCAAAGGAAACAAGACATTGGTTTATCATAGTTACCAGGTCTTGCTCCCTTGCTCGAGCCCCCATGTTGGTACGAGCTTTTCCCTTCTTTGGAGTGGTGTCGATGATCTCTTCCTCCTTTGTTTTTTTAGTTCTTCGACTCGTTTGGACTCTCGCTCTTCTTGTATTCCGTGAGAGCCTCTACTGTTGCCAAGGCAGTAGCAATATCTTGCACTCCACGCCTTTCTAGCTCAAACTTCACCCAAGGCTGCAATCCAAAAAGGAAGCCAAACAGAGCCTCCTTGTCCGGAAGATTGGGGATCTCAAGTAGAAACTCCGAGAATTCTTTGACATATTCTCGAATTCCGCCGGTGTGGTGAGTCTCCGTAGCTTAGCACGAGCCTCCATTTCCACATTCTCCGGATAAAATTGTTTCTTGATTTCTCTATGAAAATCTTCCCATGTGTTCATCTCACACGTGCCTCTTTCAATGTCTCCTTGTCGTCTCCTCCACCACACCATGGCCGTATCGACTAAGTAAAGTGAGGCGGTGCGCACCATGACCTCGTTGACGTTGATGCCTGAAACCTTGAAATATTGCTCAAGACTCCAAAGGAAAATTTCCAATTCCTTTGTGTTCCTCGAGCCTCCGAAATTCTTTGGCCTTGGAACATCCACTCGTGGGGTAGTTTGAGTCGCGGCAGGTCCGTTATCCACGACTCGCTTAATGAGATTGAGTTCTCCTTGAAGCTCGTCAACTCTTCCCTTACTTCGTCTACTTTGCCGTGAATGGTCTCCTTCAATGATTCGATGGCGCTGGTGATTATGGTTACCAACTCCTCTCTAAAATCTTCTAATCCTACCTCCAACCCCGCCATTCGAGTAGCCATGCCTTCCACGTCACCCTTCAAGGTCTGCACCTCTGTGCTGACTTGATCGAAGTTCGACTCCATGTCTTCCAACATGGTCGTGTTCTTAGCAATCTTTGTCTCCGCCTTTGTGAGCCTTTCCTCGAGTGCAACCAAAGGTTCTTGAGTAGATCTATCTCTCTTATTCTTGTTTGCTACTTCTTTGTGTCGCGTCTGCGTTGCTCGTCGTTGAGAATCTTGGACCCGGATCCAGCCATCTCATCGAGGTTCTTTCTTACTTGATGAGTCATGACCTGGCTTTGATAACACCTGTCACGGACCAACTCTTGGCCGTGCGACACTTAGTGCTCAAGTCTTGTTAAAGCACTAAGTCAACCTAGTTCGCATTCACTCAAACTCACAAGTGTAGAGAAAATTCTAGAGATGGAAAGCTCTCAATTTCTGGATGAATGAAAAATGAGGGAGAGGGCTACTTATATAGGCATCCTCTCTGACTCAACCCGAATGCACCACTTTCAACTCCCGATTAAGGCCCAAGTATAAACCTTAACCGGGTGCAGTACAGTGCAAGTATGTTTAAATATAGACCCGTGCCGGTTCATATACCCCTACTTCCATTGTTTGTAACATTATGTAGCGGTTGGTTTTTGGTGAAAACAACAATCTAAAGCTAAAGTGCTTGCAAAGATAAATGGATTTGACACTAATTGAGAAGGTTTCACCTGGGTGTTGCTCGCCTTAGCTAGCAATTACGACTTGTAGGATCGAATGGGCGTGTGTGGTGAGGGGGTTGTAAACTGTAGGGAAGTGTAATAAGTAGCCAAGAGCCACTCTCTTAGTCTCTAGGTCGAGGGAAGGGGATACGATCCAAGCCACCAACGCGACTCTCTCGACCAATTGACTAAGGATTGGTTAGACTTCACCCTCGAATCGGAGTTCGGACGACCACCCACAACCAAACCCTTGGTGCTAATACAAAATAGGAGGTTTTCCCTGCATTAACCTAACTAGGAGACAATGAATTGCCTAAGAAAATACCCAACATTCAAGCCTCATTCAAAGAAAGGAAGGGGGTTTTCTCTCTACCTAGGTTAGAATGACAATTAGATTGATAGACTTTCATACAACACAACACAATCATTCATGAATAATACTTACACATTCACATTAAACACAACCACGCACAAATCATTCAATCCCTACAAGCATTCACATAACTATAGCTAGGGTTTACAAACACCCAAGTGAAAGAAGGGACTACTCCATGCTATGAGAAGAGAAAACACAAGAGAGAAGAAGGGAAACCACCAAGGAGATGCTAGCCTTGCTCCTTGTGTTGAAGAAATCCACCTT